GGCAAAGTGAGAAAAATTCACTGAGCAAAGGAAAAGGCAACCTAAGGAGACATTTGGCAAGACGAAAGAAGACACCACACAGAGGTTAAGAATAAGAGAAAGACTCAAAGTCCTCTCTTGCAGTAGGAAGGGGAATGCTTCCAAGTTATAAAATTAAGTATATTCACATTATTTCTTTTTTTTGCCTCTCCTGCCCACAAAGCTATGTCTTCGTTCAACTTCTTATTTCTGTTCAGAGATGGAATTAGAAAATATTTGAAGCTGACACAGTCGACATCACACAAATGCTTGCTTCTGCTTAGGGGAATATGGGAATGCTCCCACACTTCTCATTTCACACTTTAAAGCTTTCTGAGCATTCAGCTTCCGTTGATTACCCTAAAAGAGACTCGGATGGTTCTACCCTGTATGGTGGTCTCCCTCCCAAAATGCACGCACAGTGAGTTGACCAATGACCCCTGCTGCTCAACCATCCCTCCCATGGGCCACTTATCTGTGCAGTTATCCCTGGTAGAGCCTTTCTGCTCCTATCCCCATTGCTGCTGTGGTGCCAACATATCAACAGGGGCAGCATTCCAGTTTTGTGGTCTGGCTGAGGAATCTTTTTGCTAAATGTCTTCTTTCAATTTCTTTTTTCTTACAATTCTTCTCTTTTTCAGATAGCTAAAAACAGAACAAATGACAGGGCATAATCTATTTCTCAGATTATGGACTGCTTCCAGTGACTCCTGCCAGCCCATGTGACATATATAAATCACAGATTTGAGACCTGCACTCCTGCACTGGTTAAAGTGATAAGTAAAATTTCTTGTTGTCTTACACCTCACTGCTGACAAAGTGACTCCCAGCTGAAGAGATTCACGTGTGCTCTTTATTTCAGCAAGCAAGACGCATATATTTCACTCATCAAATGTGCTCCTCTGACAGAAAGGAGAGTGCAAGCAGCTGTTGTGTAGGACTACTACATTTGTTAAACTCATGCCCACTTTGTTTTCTCCCAGCGTAGGTATGACTTTACGTGGCAATACATATTTAACAGTCATTTTCATGGCTGTAAATCCACCCAATTGAATTCTAGAGGAATTTGCCATCAGCAAAGAAATCAGACAGCCTGCAAGTTTTCAGTCTGGCAGCTTTTACTGTTGTATTTTGCTGTTGTTCTAATACTCCCTCTTAAATGTGAGAGGTGAAATGTTTCATAAGCATTCCTGAAATATAACACAAATTTTCATTCTTGTCACCTTTGTCCTTGGAGGCAGCAGACAACATTATAGATGAAGTGGAATTACAAAATGTCTACTTTTTATGAGGTGGGTGCAGTGACAAGAGGACAGAGAACAGTTCCTATTTGCAGTAGCTCTGTTGTAGCCTTTACTCTTTAGTTTTACCAATGTGAGCATAACACCTTAAAAATGAGTTTACAAAATCTTAACCAAGTGTTTCTTTTCTTATTGAAGTTGGCTATTTAAGATGTGTGTGGAATTGGGAAAGAGTTCCCAAATGCATTAAGGAAATTTTTAGATAGATCTAATTTGAAAACCAGAAGCCCCAGCCAATGGAAAATGCCATTTTTAACCCCCAATCAGACTGAAGTTAAAAATTAAAAATAAATAAATAAATAAATAAACAACAACAACAACATCTGCTTTAAGGAAAAGTAGTTAGGACCTTCAAATTTCCAAGCACTGTAGAACACCAAGAGGGCAGGAACTACTCTAGATGAGAAAGGACTTAAAGAGCTTAGAACTACAGTTTCCATGGAAGAACGGCAAACCATTAGCAGAGAAAGAAAGTGGTGTTACCATCCTTTTGAGTAACAAAATCACAGAAAAGGATTGGAAGGGGAAATTACTGAGATTCCTGCTGCTCATTTTCTGAGCCACATTCAACTCCTTCTCCAGGTTGAACTAACCTCAAAGATAGATAAAGTTTCTCAGAGCTTGGAAAGGAATATTTTTTAATTCTAAACTTCTTGAGAGTAAATAATGCAAAAATCTCTCTTTTCTCAAAGTAAAGTTCATTCTGAGTAATATCTCCAGAAAAGTTGCTTTTGTGACTGAATTCAGCAACTCTGTCTCCTTATAGATGGAGGAAAAAAACAAGCTAGGCTCTTATTTATATGAGCCACAGATTCACAGGCATCTCTATGAGTAAGTGCATCACATCACTGAAATGGGACAAAGAGACACATTGCATTCTAGTGGCCCAGTGTAGTAAAATACTTCTATTAAAAAAAAAAAAATGTGTATTTCTCTATTCACAGCTTAAAAAAAAAACATATTCAATCTGACAGTTTAAATACTTTTGCCATGAGCTTCTTCAGATGCAGATGCAAAAGCAAAGCTAGAGAAAATTAATTCCATTTATCAGAAAAAATAATCTGTGCCATCCTAGTAAGAGTTTCATTTCTTCTACAAAATAATTACCCATACGTATAGAGACAGTACAAGGCCCAAAAAGATTACAAGCAAAGGTCTTGATCCCACAAACACACATAGAACTTTCTGAATTAGCCTATTTAAATCAAGGGAGCTGCCCGTTTCTACATGTGAGTTTGCACATCAGGCTATGTCTCTTTCCACTGTGCTTCTGACATCTCACCAGCATTGACAGAAACCTCAGTTGTTGGGAACTGCATGATAGAAAGCACCTGAAATTCATTTCAATAGAAATGATAACATTGACACATCTATTATTTCTTCTCTATGTTCTTTAAATTTCTCCTAAAAACCTAACTCTGCAGTTCTGTCTATAATTGCCTGCATTGTCCTGGTGACACTTAAGACTGCTGGCTGCTTGTGGTTAAAACACCAAGGCCTCTAAATAATGCAAATGTATACAGGCTAATTGCTGCCTGCACCTTCTTCATGCCCATGTCAACACTTGTTTAATGTCTTCCTGACTCGTTCTGGAACCCAGAATTGCCTTTTCTATTAATCTCTGCAGTTACTGTCTCAAAGACCTGCATCTCCAGACTCTACTGCTCTTGAAATAAACTGAGGCTCCCACACCTGGGATGAAGAAACAGAAGATTAGCAGAATTGCTTCCTTCAGGTAGCATGGAGTGGGACATGCAGACACACTGCCAGTGGAGGGGTTCTGATATTAGGCATGCAGTGCTGGACTAGTGCTCCTCCAGAGGAAGCCAGCTCTGCAGAGTTAAGGATGTTAGGTGAATGGTAAAGACATGCAGCTGGAAGGTCTACAAAGGGATTTCAAATTAGCATTTCAGATGTTTATTTGAAGTGACTAAAAAGTCACTAAATTATTTTGGCTATGGATACGGAAGAACAATTTTTGTCCTAGTGTTCTTATTAAATGTATTCTTCTCACTTTATTATAAAACTAAGAACAATTCACAGTGTGAAGATCTCAGGATAAAGCACAAGTTCACTGTGACACTCCACAGCTCTCCTTGGTTGTTTTTCTAGTGCTCTGAAATCCCCAGAGCACACTAGAATTATCTCTAGCTTGCTATTTTCCGTCATCCAAGAAGACTGCTCACTAGCTGCATCTGATTCAAGGGATTACTGTAGGTATAAAATGACAATAGCATTACCTCTAGCAGATCAAATATGTGACCTATTTTGTTACCAATCGCTTTTAAGTATAAGTAATACATATTTTTTCACCTGCACATGTAGTCATTTCATAGTTCGTAGGTTTTGTTTCATAGTTTTCAAACCTGATCGTTTACCCTATTTTGTTACAAATTTAAAATTTTCATCTTAAATTATTAATATATTTTATCAGTAAAATTACTGAAAAAGACCATTTGCTTAGCGCCAAGTAAGAAAAATATTTATCCCTCCTAATTCTCATTTTTCTTTGACATAGGGGATATGCAGTATAACAAGCCCCATAGCCTGGTGGGAAGCAGCTGTCTGATAATGAATAATCCAAAGAGCCTGCTTTGCCTTATGTTTGTTGGATTTTTTTTTTTTTTTTTTTTTTGCCTTATGTGCACACTGTGCCAATGTAAAGCAGTTTTGCTAATTAATGATGCTGCTTTCACACTTACCTCCAGCCTTGCTTTCACCCAGTAATTCTCCCTACTAACTGGAGAACAATACGTCCAGTTAGACCACCTGGTTTATGAGCATCTTGTTTCTGCAAATCCTTGGGTCTGATTACTCAAGCCAGTCAGCAACACAAATATTAACTTTCAAAGTCTGTATCTCCACATATAAAGAGCAAGGAGTGAAGCATGAAGCTCCCCCTCTCCATTTTGAGCAGGTATCATGGGGACACACCTGCCCTCCTTCTACATTTAAGATGGCATAATGTATCACTAGAAAGAGATGCATAATCATCACTTTTGCATTGTTTTTTTTTTCCCCTAGTTTTATTAAAAAATCACAGCCTTCCTTCCTACAGAATGCATCCACTGAAAAACAAGGATATCCTTTTCTCAATGATTCCAATGATACATTCTTCTTAAGCAGCTGCTATTATCTGAGCAATGCACTGGCTTTTTATACTGTGCACTTTCTGATTTCCAAATGAAAAAAAGCACTGAGATAAAATGAGTTTTAATAAACTGGAAACATTTCTCTGCATGAGAAAAAAGGTTTCCTCCTGAAAATCTATGCATCTCTCTCGTTGACCCTGTCAATACTAAGCTCAGTGCAGAAATGAGCAGGAGAAGAATTTGCAATTATTATCAGCAATGTTTTAAAGCACAATCTGATTTCCAGCAATGCAAAGCAACGCAGAGCAGAGTCACACATCCCTGCGTGTCTGACTTTTAGGGCACTCAGGCAGTTACCGGAGTCCAGAAGGCCACACAGGGAACCTATCAGGTTTCACTCAGGCCAAGAGGGAGAATAAAATCTAGAGCATATGGAATCATGCATTGCACTTTTCTGAATCAAGTTTATTGGCTGCAGAAGAAGCTTCAGTTTCATAAAATCAGACCACCAAGTGTCTTGTCATCTTTGATAGCTTTTAGAACATGTCTGTGATAATATAAGGCCTATGAAAGTTAGCCTCTTTGCCACAGTCACTCATTTTAGAAGTCATGGTTCTTTATTACAGGTATTAAAGAGCTGCAGAAGGATACTAGGATGTCTAATTTTTTATTCAAATGAAAGACAAGATTCTGCTACACTGGTGGCCTGGAGAAGCACACTATGTTTTCTTTCTAGAAATAAATCTTTCAAGAAGAAAACAGAACCTCAGTATTCTTTACGCATCCTATAAAACCACAGAGTGTTTCAACTGATAGTATATCAGAGCACAGAGGTTCTGCTGTTAATAATAATTCAGCCTTGGAAGCATTTGGAAGATAAGTTCCATCATGGTGCCATCACCCACCCCAAATGAGCCAGAAAGGAGCCTTCTTGCTGCTTGCTGTGGCCATGTAATGTCAGCACTCTTGAGGTTTGTTGTTCAGAGCCCCACACAAATCCCTGCTCTCAGCCCCCAGTCACTGAGGGCCTTCCCAGCATTCTCTTTGCACAGCAAGGTGTCTGCAGCTGCTTCCAGAGCCCAGATTAGATCCCAACCATCCCAAAAGGAGCTTCAGAAACGCACCTCACACTGACAGGCTGCCAGCAGAATAGCTACTCTGAAGTACAGTTGCCTTAAACCATACAGAAATGAGAATTTACATAGGATAATCCCCTGCGCTTACACCTTATGACAGATTTTAGCAGGCCAGACAGAGCAGGCGTCTCCTTTTAGTACATCTGTAGTTGACTGCCACACAGCTTTTGGCAAAGTTAGAATTATGTAGAAGACAGAATGCTGCAAAGAATTGAGAAGACCAAAGGGACTCCAGTCCCACGGAAAACCCTAATTCAGTGTTTAAAAGAAACCAGGTAACTTTATCAGGACCATGTTTTCAAACTTTCAGTACATGTCGAGTGCTGTATGCCCAGCAGCACCAATCACATCTGATCATCAGTACAACTACACCATACAATAATCATGACCAGAAAACGTTAAGAATTCACAACAGCAACGCCGAAGTTCTACTGAGTTGAGCTAGGAGGTGATTAAAAGAGGAAGAAAAGAAAGGTGCGTTCATTGTAGCAGCCCTCACGGCCAAACGACAGCACTCACGGCACCTGCGTTACGCAGGCTAACAAAGATACCGGTGCCCACGGCGCTCCGCTCGGCGCATGCGCTGCGCTGCCGGCAATTGTTGCTCCGCTCCGTTCCAACTTGCAGTCGCCCCCGAGAGGCGTAGGCGCGGCCGGGGCCGGCATGAGAGCGGCGAGGGGGGGCGGCCCATAGGCGCTGTCGCTGTCCCTGGTGCTGGCCGTGGGGTGCGCGGCGCGCAGGTGAGCGCTGCCGGGTCGGGGAGGGGCGCGGGGCAGCGGCCGCCTCCCTGACTTGGTTCTGCTCCTTCCCGCAGCGCCGATGAGCCCAGCAACATGTCCTACGTGAAGGAGACGGTGGACAGGCTGCTGCACGGCTACGATATCCGCCTCAGGCCTGACTTCGGAGGTGAGGCGCCCGCACTTCTCGCTCCCCGGCCCGATGACCGGCGGATCTCCGCCTAACACTGGCTCCCGCTTCCCCTTCCTCCCTCCCTCCCCCCCGCGTAGGTCCGCCCGTCGACGTGGGCATGCGGATCGAGATCGCCAGCATCGACGTGGTGTCGGAAGTCAACATGGTGAGTAGCGGCGGGACGGGGTTGCGGGGCGCCGAGCCCTCTGCGTTATGGCGCCTCCTGCCGGCCGCGTCGCAGCGCCGCGACAGGTTCGCGTCCGGTCTCCGCCGGCAGCATGAATTCCGCGCGGCCACCTGTAGCGGCGTCGGGGCTGCTAAGAGCAAGCCCGGATTCGGGGCTGTCTACCGCAAGGGAGAGCACATGCTGCACAATAGCCGAGCACGTCGGGGTTGCTAGGAAAAGCTATTTGCGCTGTTGGCGTAATATTTGCATGCTTAAGCAAGCACTCCACATGTGCTCGCTGCCGTGTTCGAAATGCCTGCAGCAGGTCTGAGGGTCTGGGCTCTGCTAGCAGTGGTTGTTCACACGGTCAGCAATTGAGTTTAGAAATGTTGGGGTTGCTTGGCTGTAGCTGCACAGGGATAGGTCGGTTTGTTTTTGTGTGTATTTGCTTTTTTAATGTAAAACGGCACTGAATAAAAGCAGCAAAAAGTAAACAATATGAAGCTTCTGCAAAAACAACCCTTCCCGTAGAAAACTGTTGTAGATTAAATGCACAACCATGTCCCCTCTCCAGCTATCAAAATTAGAGAAGTCCCCAAGGTACAGGTGTAAAAGGAGTGTCATTTGATTTCAACTCTGCTACTGAGTTCCAGCTGACTAGAGATGCAGTCTTGGAGAGCAAAACTATGTACAGTGGTTGCCTCGTTCAGTAGTCTTTTCCCAGAAGAAACTGAAAAATCATCAGTTACAATTTTGAACATTTTGCAGAAATGAAGGCATTTTGCTCTCTCTCTTTTATGTTCGGTCTCATGAAAATCTAAGATGCTTTTTTTCCTCTTTTTAGCTAAAAGAAGCTTAAAACCTTATATTTCCATTCTAATCATCAGTTTATTTCACACACACAAAAAAAAAAAAAAGAAGGGGGGGGAGAAAAAAAGTAATATATGCCTGTTCAAAGCAATTTTCTCATATGTTTGCTTCATATAATAAAATTAACAGTTGTCACACAAAATTGAAGAGAGATGTTTTTCTCTTTGTGCTCTACATACAGGGTTCTTACTTGTCACTGCTAGATTTTTTTATACACCTAACAGAATCTGGAGGGAGGAGTCTGGCCACTTTGCATGGAGCAAACTGGACTCTGCAGAACATAAAGAGAGCATGATAGAGGTATCAGCTCTTGGAGTTCCTGTTGCTACTTTGTACTCTGGTGGTGGTCATGGTAGGAACTGTTCAGATGAAGCAGGGAGTTTCTTTAGGTCTGAACAGTCGAAGAACAAACAAACTCCAAACTATTTCTCCCACTCTGTAACAGAATCATTGCTTCTGCAAAATGGTGTACCCTGGGATAAGTGAATACTGCCAACACCATCACCAGAATACCTGCTCAGAAAAGTCAAGTGTCAACTGCTGAAATCCTGTTAATTCAAAGGGGAGTAGATCTGACAGTTTCCAGTAGCAGTGTCAAGGGGTAATAATCGTGTAGCACTGGCTCACAGCATTTCTGCTTAGCTCTGAAGGATCCAACATGCACCCCTCTTCTCCCTTCCAAACCTTGCACAGCCCTTGGGAAAGTGTAATTTGTTTTTTAATTATGGAAAATTGTATGCTGGATGTTTTTTGACTGCTAAGAGGGGCAGCTTGACTAAGATGGGTCAAAAAAATCAAAATATTTTCATTACGTAAAATGCCACATCTTTCCCAATGGAAGGAAGCAACCATTCCTAGGTAAGGCCAGAAGACCATTCTGTTCAATCAGTCTCACACAGGAGTAGCAGGGAAAGTTGTCTCATGCCTGTGCTCTCCTCAGTCATGTAAAACCTAATTTTCAGAGTGTCAGAAGCAGCTGTTCCAAATCCTGGCACACACTGATGGGGTTAAACTTCCTATTCCAGTTCCAGTGCTTAGATAAGAGTAAAGATTTTTACTTTATCTCTGTACCTCTTCAGTGAATTAGATGAGAATTTGTCTTGGCTGTAGGCTGTCTGCCAAGTCAACAGGCAGATTTGTATGTACAAGTCATAGTGTAAAAAGTTGAAATATAGACAACAGAACTATTGTGAATTCTGTGAAAACCAATAGTAACAACTATTCAATCAGGCAGCTTGTCTACCTGTAGCCTCTTCTCTAAATATGCTAAACTATTCTGAAATATTCTACTGAATTGTCTTACGTGAAACAAGCAGGAGAACTAGGATGTAAAAGACCTAATGACCAATGCTCTGTTCAAAAGCTACTTATTTCCAAATATAAAATAAGTTTTAAACTCTTTCCATCAGATTTTCCCATCCTTGCTACAATAATTGGGATTTATAAAGCATTTGCTTCCAAAGATATAAAATGATTCTTCACTTTGTTTCAATTAATGATAGTTCACCTAATTTTCATCCATGACAGAGTTCCCTTAGAAGAATTCTAGGGACTCACACGAATATAGTGATTTCATTAAGAACCTCACTATTACTGAATCTATTAAATTTCTGTGATATGCATTGTCTGGTTTATCATGATACCTTTATGCTATTAAGAAGAGATGTGTATTGCGCAGCAAGAATGAACATGGGCAGCACGATTCACAGTAACTACCTTCAAGATCCAGGGCACGCAAGCGAATCAAATGCTCTATCTACTAGAAAATAGTTGAGAAGTAGCTGGAAAAAAAACCAACATCACATACAATAAGTGACGATTTTCTCTCTAAAATATTTTTTCTACTGAGCAGGTGGTCATACCTTAATCATAGTGAAAAAGTAGCTGTATGTGCTTGGAAAACCAATGCACTTGAAAAAGAAGCTTTTATAGAGAAGTCGAGAGAGATGCAAAAAAATACTCACATTAGTTCATTTTGGGAAACTCTGTACTTAACCTACCATACTGATTTGACATTGGTTTGTGTGATACCAGATTGCAGGTTTTATTTCTGAGCAAGAAGAGGGAAAAAAATGTTTCCTTGTTCTTTGAAGTGAGTGATATAGTTTTTTATCTTCTTCACACCCAATATTCTTCCCATGCTTTCTCCTTGAGAAGTCTGTCTCATATACTGTCAACATACCTGTTGAAAAACATATGACTCAGAAATAATTTAGTTTAAACCACTCATTTTTACATCCTTTTGAGAAACTGATGATATCCCAGCTACATCTCTTTTTTGTTTTCCATTCATTTCATGTGATACCACCCTCTCATATTCTTTTATCTTTCCTGCTTTTATGATTATACGTAAGAAACTGAACCAAGAAACAGAATTTATCTTCTGGTGCATTTTTGATACCTTGACTTATGCTGAATGAGGAAGTTATGTTTTGTGGCACAGAGCAGATCCAAATCATGACCCCATCACTGTGATAGATTTGAGGAACAAAGTGTCTCTCACAGCACAAAAGCTCCACTGCTCAGTTGTCAGATATCTTTTTCTACTATGTTTACCTCACTTTTCCTGGAAGCAATGTAGTGCTTTAGGGCTGCTCCCAGATCTACTGTTGAAACACTAGTTTACGCTGCAAATGAAATCCAAGATCGAAGCACTTTCAGATGCTACTTTGGAAGTTTATAATCAGTCTGAAGGCTCAACTACTTTAGTGCATTCAGGTCACCATACTTTGTTCAGTTTGGGTAGTGAACAGTTCTGCAAGTGTGGAAAACTGAAAAACAAACTGCTGTGACACCATGACCTATATAGCAAGGGTCATCTTTATCTTTAGCATGGATCATTCTGGAAGGCCGCATGCTTTTTCAGTTTGAACTTTCACAGTCATTTTCCACACAGCAGTGTTGATGTGCTTTAGTTCTTTTGAGATCTTCACAAGTCTGCTGTTCACTTTTTATCACCAATGCAACAACACAATTCACTTCAAAAAAGACAGAAATCAGTATGTACAGAAAAGAAATAAAGCATGTTTCAGAGCATCCTGTGATCATCCAGAATCCAGAATTAACATCAGAACCAAGCAAAATTAATGAAATCTTTGAACAAATATCATGTACAATGTGAAGCAGAGGGTTATGGATCCATTCAGTATAAAAGGCTGTTGGCATCCAGGGCTGTGTGACCAAAGCACAGATAGTAGGTCAGGGGAACTTATTATCTCTTCTTGGTGCTCACTAGACTACATTTAATACTGCATCTGGTTCTGGGTCCAGCCCAGTTATGTGATGCAGAACTGATGGTAGTTCAGTGGAGAGCAACCAAGCTGGGTTGCTTGCTCTAGGATCTGGGACTGTTCTGTCTGGAAAGAAATGGTTCTGAGGGCACATTCTCAGGATCTGTGAAGAAGTTACGGAGAATATAGAGCCAGACATTTCACAGAGGTATGTGCCATGATGGGAGATGCAAAGTGAAACCAAAGAGGATCAGAGTTGGATGTAAGGAAACGATTATTTTCTATTCTGTGAGGACAGTCCAGGAAACAAACTGGATGCTCGGGGAGATTGCAATTTACATCGTTGGTAGCCTGTAAGACCCAGCTGGATCAAACCCAGAGCAACTGGGTCAGACTTCATAGCTGAGTTACTTTATTTTATAAAATCATAATTGTTTACTACATTCGGGAAACAAAACTCCCCTTGATATTAATAAGCATTAATTCAACATTAGTTGGCAGTGCTTAATTCCAAGATCTAGGACTATCACACAAGACTAACTTGTCAACATATGCATATATATAGGCAAATGTTTTCAAATTTGCCTATAGATGAAAGGCAAGCACATAGATGCCTCTAGAGGTTGGAATAATAGAAGTGCTTCCTATTACTTGAGGGCTGAACCTGTAAATGGCAGAAGGTATGCTCTCTCAGTAATTACCTACTGAATCTTACAGAAACTGTCTTTTGGTTCAGGATATGCAAAATTATCATAAGCAAGCAAATAACAGTTTGGAAAGATTCTTCCTTTGATTTTTTTTTTTCATAGTAATTTTGTATCACAGAACACCACCACTGCAGCAATTGCACTATGGCACATTTACAACAAAATGCACAACAGCTTCCAGAAAGTTATTCATTAATATCCAGCACAACTGCTTATATTAACTGCCCCAGTTCTGAAGGTAATTTCATCTTTTCGATTCTTGCTGTATATTTTTAGACTATTACATATATCTATGGGTTACCACATTTTAGTAAATTCTTATTATTTAGTTCAGGATAAAATCATGTTTTGTATTAGTGAAGAGAAATCAAGAGAAGACTAGAATAATATTCAAGATAAATATACCACAACACTGTCCACAGCCCAGGACCCCATTTTAGCCTTCCTTCCCAGGGGCTAGTTTAAGCTCTCAAGCTGAGTAAGGCTTAGAACCACTGTTAGTTTGCCCATTACCTCTGTCAGGCCAGCATTTGTACACTAGACTCCAGCTATTGACCAACTTCTATGTATCCTTGCACATTATGTTAAGGCACTTATTGCAGGCTAAGGGACTCTTCAGCTGTGTTTATTGACTGCCTGAAGTTTCACACGTTGTCTTGTCCCTTCTCACTGGCTGGGTTAAGTACTGAGAAAGCAGAATATTGGCTGCTCTGAATGTCAGACTAGAAAACCATCTCTCTTCTCGGCAATTTCATACCAAAATGAATCCCATTTCCATAGATCCCTTCCTTCACAGCAGCAAAATCTCCTTTATTTGAATCTCAAGTTTGGTACATGGAGAACGGAAAAATCAACTTCTTCTGCTCAGTCAGGAAGGCAACAGAAGCAATCAGATTAATTGCAATGATAATAAATGCAAATCCTCAATATAAATACATCCATCAGACAGTATTCATAGAGATTACATTGATTTTTAAAAGTGACATAAAACTCAACAATTCTTTATGAAAACTTGTGTCCTGCAGTGCAGAAGAAGGGAGAATTACTTTCTAGTTATAGCATGAAGGACATGCAAAGGATTTGAAATGAATATTAATAAGAATGTTCAGCAACTGATTTTTTCCAGCAAATAAGGAAAAACTAGCCAAGTAATAATATATAAAGGTCAGATCATTTCATCACTGTCTGCTTCAAATGTAAGTAATTAAGTTAACAGTGAAACATGGAGTAAATGTAGAAATCAACACCCTGAGGTTAAGCAGTGAGGTCACTGTTATTCGATGTCATGTTGGGCTGTTTTTCATTTGAATACAGAACTAAGTGATACTTCAACAAAATTAACAAGTACACAAAAAGGATAAAGTGCTTCATATGACCCAGAAAGGTCAAACATATGACTCAGAAAGTGGTCCCTTCCAACTGAAGCCATTCTATAATCTTAATTTGTTTTTAAAATCAAACTAAACTGAGAACAGCTTCAAGGTTAATATAAGCAATATACCAAATCCTTTTTTCCAGCCTGACAGGCGCAATACTTCACAAGTTTCCTTACTTCAAGGTTTAAATGAACTAGCTATGAATGCCCTTCATAGAAAATATGATTCTCTTATTTGATGTTAAAATCACAGTTGCCCACAGGCAGTTCTTCCAGCTTTCTCAATTTCTTCTCTCTGGACACAGCAGGTGACTTACCCTCACTACTTAACTTTTCTCAAGGGTTGGTAAGCTCAGTTCTGACCTATGTACTTCATACATCTTTTAGTCCGGGTTTTACACCTGACACCACATGGTATCCTGATATGTTTATAGTGGAGGCAGATAGTATAAACCCTGCAACACCCACATTTCTGAATAGAACAGACAGTATTCACACTTCCCATTTGTTTAAAGCACATTCCAAGTACGCAGCACAAGATTACAAATGATAAATACTATCTAGCTGGTCTGTTGAATTTTAACATTTTTTTATAAGCTGCATCTTGCCTTCTCATTTATCCTGAACCTGGAATAAAAGATAAATAAATAAATAGGACTGAAACGTGCTGCTATTACTGTGACAAACTGCCAGAAATAGCTGCAAAGAAAAGGACCACACATTTCCTTAATCATTCTCCAAAACACTTCTCCTTCCAGGTCTCACTCCTAAAATCTACAGTTAATCTTATAGCAATGGGAGTCTTGTAATGAGATGGATTTTCTCATCCCATAACTGAAGGTCACATGTTTTCTCCAGATGTTTTGTGCATCTGCATCAAACAACATGCTTACATCGTGAGCACTGAAATCTTCTTGCTTGGGCTCTGTTAGCCTCCATAAACCTCACAGGTCAGTAGCACAAACACACTGAGGGCATTCAGGGTCACAAATGATACTTTAGTAATTGAATTGCCAACAACTCACACAAAGGACCCATTTACTGTAATTATCATTTCTCTAAAAAGAAAAAATGTCTCTGTAAAATTCAAAGTCCTCCCAAGAACCTGTTGTTTCTTTAAATGAATGTGTAGGTAGGTAGAACAGAGTGCTTAATTAAAAGTTTGTATCTTTATTTTCTTTCTTTTCATTGCCTTTTTTATTCTGATTCTGGAAAGAAGAGAATATTAGAAGCTCCCAAAGTAAGCATTTGCTTTTATAAGGAGATTGAAGGGGCTCATTTCAAATGACTGCAGAACTTAGTTGGTCTTTTTAAAATCAACTTTATTTTTTACTCTATTGCCTGTTTTCTGTAATTCTTCTAGGCTGTTCTCATACATTCTCTTCTAACTGCTGTTCAAGTAACACCTGGAAGTAAAACTGAGGAGTCAGGAGAGGAAATAATCACACCATCATTTCTCCCTGACATGTGAAAAGATTCCCAGCCTCAGGGAAGGAATAGGAACATGCCCCAAAGCTACCACCAAAAAAAGACTTGTTCCTGTTTGCAAGATGCCAGGTAGTCTGGGACAACATCTGAAGCTACAGAATTAAGCCTGAAGATTTCTGTCATTCAGCTGGTGATGCTGAATGACAGAAAACTGTGCTTTGTGGAGTGCTGTATTCCAAGCAGCAGCTGCTGGGAAGAGGTTTCTGGGATGTCTCATTCCTTATATTAAAGTATGCTGTTTTGAAGCGTAGTGAAACCTCAGAAACCAGCTAAAGGATTCTCAGTTGATGACAGAGTCCAAGGTGGCTACCAGAAAGGTTTTATACTTGAATACTCTCTAAGAGTCCTTTTCTTCTTTCTAGAAGAATTCTGGATCTAAAAGAGGTGCACATTTGGGCTTCTAAAGTTCCTCTTCCCTCACATGAAATACTATCTGTAATTCTGACAGCACTCCAGAAAATGTATTAAAATGAAATTGTTTCTAACCCAAAGGCAAAACTGTTGCAAACGTGTCCTCTAAGAAATTTGCAGCAGCAATCACTGAATAATCTAGCAGAATTATACCAGACAATCACAAATCACAGAATGGCTCCGGGTTGGAAGGGACCTCAAGGATCATACATCTCCAACCCCCCTGCCACATGCAGGGCCACTAACCTCCACATTTAATACCAGACCAGGCTGCCCAGGGCCCCATCCAATCTGGGCTTGAACACCTCCAGGGATGGACAGGGCATCCACAACCTCTCTGGGCAGCCTGTTCCAGCACCTCACCACTCTCTCTGTAAAGAACTTCCCCCTGACATCCAACCTAAATCTTCCCTCCCTCAACTTAAAACCATTTCCCCTTTTTTCTAAGCAATAGCTCTGTATTAAGATTTTCTTATGCTGGAGATGGAGAAGGTAGATTAGACTTCTTGCCTATTGAGGCTGACAGTGTCCTTTCAAAAGTGCAGTACTGGTTTTGGCCAAAGCGGTGTCACACTGAGGTTTGCTGTATCTTCTGCTAAGGAAAATGCTTGATTGTTTGGGTTAGGTCATGAACAAGTAAAATGGAATCTAAAACAAAAAGACAGCTTCCAGAAAGCTGCATTATCACTTAGCAAGATTGAATTGTAAGGTTTTAAATGCCTACAATAGAATACATAGTTTCAAAGTGAAGATTTCAGACTGCCAAACATAATTAAAGACTGGAATAAGTGTTCTCCATTAAAATTCATCAATCCATTTGGCTGAGATGAAGAATTTCAGTTGAGTCTGTTTTAATTATCTATAGAATGAACTGAAGAGACAGCAGTTAAAACTGCTGAAACAGATAGATGGTGTCTAAATATTGTTCAGGATCTTAATCATACTAAAAGAAGAGTGCAGTTATTTCCCCAGCATGTTTTTAATCAGAAGAGCCTTTTAAGCACAGGTGAAATAAAACAAGTACCAGACAGCTGCAGGTGTTCATGCTGAAATATCTCAGGAGCTTCTAGGAGACTGCTCCTTTCCAAAAAGACTAGATGCTGATAGTCCCATTGATCTCAGTGAAACTGCTCATGGGTAAAATTTGTTACACCAGTAGAAGTGCATGTTCATTTTACCAGCTTATCAGTTTCTTTAGCAGTTCGTATGAGCACTCCAGCTCTCCAATTACAGCCGTTTCTAAACCTTTGTTTTGTTACAATTTTCTGTATCCTTAATTTTTGACATGAGAGAATAACCAAGCCTGGAATAAGAACCTTTCCCTGTGTTCTTCTATGCTGATATATCCTTTCTTTGATCAATTTGCTTGTAAACCATTCATCCTGAATATCAATACACTAGCCAAGGAGAGGTTCATATAGATGAGGTTCAAAGGCTACATAAATATAATATATTGCATCTCACAGACAGTAGAGTTTTGTCACTGGCTTCCTATGAAAGGAGTGAAACATGGGATTAGCAGCCACCTATAAATTCAGGATTTATTTTACTCACTGCACCAGGACTAACTGAAGAGAGAAAAAAAAAAAAAAAAAAAAAAAAGCTTCAAGAACATCAATAACATGCTGGGATCCAAATCTTCAGACTTCATAGTTTGTTAAATGCTTTGTGGATTCTCACACTAATAAGAAGCAAATATGGTGCCAATGCAGTAGCAATTTGAAATGAATCCTGCATAGAAATTCAGCTCGCACTGCCAAGAGAAATGGTTTTGTTTTCCAGAAGCTCACCAATAGTATATATTATTGAGATCTCAAGGAATACCACATTATTTCCTTTTCATTATTCCTAGCAGAAATTTGGAGTAAACAAAAAGGAGAGGATTACAGTTACTAGCGTAAGTCAGAAAAATACAGTGTAAGAACAACCTACTAAATAGCAGGTTATTAAACAGGAACCAGTCAGCTTACAGTAGCTATTTTAGCTCTTCTCACCAGCACAGCATGGTTTATCAGAGAGAGAGAGAGAGAGAGAGAGAGAGAGAGAGAGAGGAGACTTTTGCACTGTATAAAAATATCAGTTCATTAAGACAATTTCAAGTACAAAAGTAAAAATTTAATTCATTCTAGAGAGTCTCATCCTAGACATGGGATCAAGAAGAGAAGACTACAGAGAAGTCTCATGGTGGCCTTTCAGTACTTAAAGGGGGCCTATGGGAAAGCTAGAAAGGGACTTTATTATGGAGTGTAGCAACAAGACAAGAGGTAATGGTTTTAAACTAAAAGAGGAGAGATTTAGATTAGACTGCAGGAAGAAATTCTTTGCTGTGTGTGTGGTGAGGATATGGCACAGGCTACCCAGAAAGCAGGAGGTGCTCAAGGCCAGGCTGAGTGGGGCCCCAGGCAGCCTGAACTATGGGGGAGAGGAAAGAGGGGAAAGGGCAGCCCTGCATATAGCAAGGAAGTAGAACTAGGTGGGCTTAACTATTCTATGACTTCATGGTCTTTTTTTTTGATCATTCATTTTCACAAGTACATTACCACATAAGCATTACTTACAAGCTTTAAAAGTCACAAGTGAGAGTCTCTTCCATTATTTGTAGAGATTAGTGATTTTTTTATTTATATATTTGTATTTAAATAAATTAGGATAAGTCCACAGTTTGGAGAAGTATGTGGGAATTAATTCTTTTCCCTCCCAATGAGCATGACCATCAATCTAACAATGGAGCAAAGCTATCAGAGGAGGTCACAGCTCCAGAGGAAAATATAGTAATTCAGCTAGCTTGAACAGTATGCATCTTAGAATGCAGAAGCCTTAGATTTCACTCTTTGTTCAGCAGATCAGTGCCATCAGTAGTTAAATGTCACGTTATAGGAAAAAAAAAGACAACAGACTCAGGATGACATCTATGGTGGAACCATAAGCCAATTTCAGATCCTTACTCAGACGTTGTGCATGGCTGTGGACACAGAGCAACTCCTCTGGCCCTTAATTTCTCCTCTGTAACAATTCATGTCTCGCAGGGATACTGTGAGAATTAAACTCATTGTGTAAGAGCTTACTTGGACAGTGGACAAGTTTCTGTACATTCAGATGGAAAGAAAAGACATACAGCCTGCAGCTAAAAAAGAACATACCCCCTGTGACCAGTAATTTCAGTGAACCATCATGGCTTATGACCCAGCTGGTCTGCTCCAACATCTCCAAAACACTATTTCTGCAGTACTGACAGAAATTTATTTTTTTACTTACTTAGTGAGAAACCCCAAGACAGCGCGGGATGTTGCATGGTAATTACATTTTCCTCAGTAGGATTACTGAATGACATATTGTGATATATCAAGAGGCAACTGTGAATTCAACTTGAGTCAGCGCAGTAGACTTTGCCCTGTACAGTGTGTTTCCAGATGAACAGTGTGAGTGCGAGAACAAAAGGAAGTTATTGAATACGTCACAGCATCACATATCTTTCAGCAGCATTAGATTTCAAAATACACCTGATTCTGGGCTAGCCTGGGAGCACATTTTTACTTTATTTAATTTACGTATACTGTTTGCAGGATGGATTCGCCTCCTGGGAAAAGGCAACAATTATACTCATTTGTAAAAAGAACAATGCATGTCAAAATACAGAATTAACAGTTTTTTTCTATTTACTCATTTATATCACTAGCTGCCTGTCTCTTGTAACAGCAGATAAGCCACGGCTCTTTTGTGAACAGGCTATTTAATTGCATTAAATGTTAGATTTACTTGGTTTTTGGGACATTGCAACAACATCCGACAGCAGAGGGCTCTGCTAGTCATTAAAGAGGTTGGGAAATTTTCATGTGTATCCCTGATAGTCTCACCATTTTTGCAAAAATTGCAAGAATACTATCTGGGTCAGAAGGAGCAATAGAAAAAATTTTTCTTTTCAGTTTCACATGTATTTACCAGAGCAATTACCAGAACGTGAGCAAAATTTCCCTCCCATGGAAAAGATTTTTCCTTTGGGTATTTGTGGTAGAGTTTTAATACACACTAAAAACCACAGCTTTCATGCAAAATGCATGTCTTGAAAGTTGAAAAAGTCTTTCCTGATCTGCTGTTCTCTTTTCTCAAATGGCCACTTACTGGGTTCTCTGTCACATCCATGTCCGTTGTGCTTTCTCAAAAATAATCCTTAGCAACTCTACATTGCAATTTCAGTAATTTCAACCCTTTGGTCTCTTGAGTAAATTATGTCTGTGCTAGAAGCAACACATTTACAGGCATTCACAAAGGCAGAAACTATAATATTCATATCAATGCAACATCCCGCACTCAGTCAACCTTCTGGCTATATCATCCCACAGGTGGGCCCATGAGAAGATTAATTTGCCACAGAGATTATTTGCAGAAACATTGGTACACCCCATAGATAACAGATTTTGTGATTCCCCTCCCCCAGGATACTCAGCGTCTTGTAAAATTGTGCTTTAAATAGCAGTTGAACAACACTGAGTTAAAAGAACAGTAAGTGATTTACATTAAATTCTTCTGTGAAAAGACTTACGAACAAACCAGGTCAAGATGCTATATCACAAAAGGTGCTTTGCTGGCATAAATTATTTCTCATCACATTTCCAGAGTTCTGTGGCTGAGTTAAGATTTGAACCAATGTCTGGAGAAAAAGTGTTTTGACCATTTAGTCTCGGGTTTATTACAGATGTGAAACAAACAAGTTCCTGGGGAGGCAGTATATTTTCCACGGCATGACTGCTAGTAGATAGGCAACTTTTATATGACTTTCCACATCAATGCCACAGATGAATTTGTGTGCAAGTCTGAGTGAAAATAGTTACAAGAACAGAAGTAAACACATGCTTTTAATGTCAGCAAACCATTTCATTTTCTCAGGTTTGGGTTTCTCATTGCATACGCTCAGGAGACAGTCATAAAGTTACATATATGTTATTTTTCATACTCAATAGCTTTTTTTCTGATACCCAAGATTTGCATGATGGGGCAGCAGTGTAAGGGCTCACCACGTGTCCTATTCATTGACGTGGATATAGGCAAACCTAACACCTCCATGGCAGATGAGAAAAGGGACTTCTGGCAGAGAGCAGGAAGACACCCAGCTGTTTTTTAGTTATGGGTTTGCTAAAATTGGCCTGTATTTTGAGAGATATTTTGAATTAAATTTCATCATTAATATCTAGTTCCGTAGATAAAATTATAGCATTTTAAAATGATGCTGAATGGGAGGAAAACAAATGGTGAATGAGTCTTTGGCCTAGATGGAAAGACATAGCATAGACTTAGATTGACAACAGTGCTTAAAAAAGAAAAAAAAATAATAATCTCCAGAATTTCTGGGTTTTGTGAGGGTGGGAGGTATGTTTTTCTGAAGTGCAATATAAACATCAAGCAAAAATACGTTTCTTAACTTAACAAGAAATGATCTAATACCTTGATAGCAGGCACGTGCAATTTCTCAGTTTCTTTGTAGTCTTGATGTACCCAGGAAGTCTCACTGAAATTCGCATTCACAGAATCAATGATGAAAGAGTATCAAATACTTAGTGAAACATACTGAAGAAATGATCTGCAGAAAGAATATGTAAATAATATTTTAATAAGCATGTAGAGCATTCTGGAGTCAAATGCAAGTACTAGACAGTATATTATATTCAATTCTAGTACAATCAAATTTCAAAAATTCAATACATTTTCCTTAGGTTGAAAGATGGTTTATGAAAAAAATAAATCTCTCAGAGGATGTAACATTAAAAACTAAATGCAAAACAGTTACGAGCGCTGCTCCCAAATAAATGCCTCCGTGAATTTCCCATTAAAGAAAAAGTTCAAGAAGCACTACTTATGAGTAAAATGATGTGCACTGTCTTTTGGGATTGGAAAGCTGTGATACTTCTGGATTTCTTGGAACTTGGACAAGTCATCAACTCTGACCGTCACATCAAAACATTGAGTAAGCTGAAGGCTCAAACTTCCAGAATTAGACAAAAAAAATAGGACAACTTTTCTCTTGCATCATAAATCACCAGACTCCATACCAGTCTGAAACACATTCCCAATCTTGGCTGGACTGCCCTACCACACTTACCCCATAGTCCAGATTTGGAACCTTCTGACTTCCATCTGTTCAGGCTAATGAGAAGATTAACTCTATGAACAACATATTCATAGCAATGATGCCATTATTGCAACTGTGAAACAACAGGTCACCCTCTTTGGTGCAGATTTTTATTATTATGGAAATGCAGGCTCTCATTCATCACTAGCAAAAATGCATAGCTAATGATGGTGACTATGTTGAAAAACGGTGCTTTGTAGCTGAGAACTTACTCTTTCTAGTGTTATTGTGCTCTTTGAATCTGTTGTAGCTCTGTAAAAATAAACAGGAAGCATTACTTTTACAGTGATAGATACAGTAAAAGGAGAATTCACAGAAGTTTACAAAAGACGAAAATCAGCTCTTTGGAGTGTGCTACACCATGACTGTGAACAAAAGGTTTCAGCTTTGGAACAGGAACACTGATATTTCTTCTTGTTTTATAGAATGTTTTGTGGATAGACAGTGCCAAATTTTCCTTGTTTTTTAAACCAGGCAGTTTAATCAGCAATAATAATCAGCAAAATAATCAGCAGAGTGGTATGAATTTTACTTTTCGGTTTAATGGCTTATGTATTTGAACGCAAGATTTAAACAAACAAACAAAATCAGTGAGTGCAAGTAAAACATTACATCTCAATTTCTATATCTCTCCATAGTGTTCCAGGGCAAATAAATAAATAAATAAATCCTCTGTGGGCTAAAAAGTAAATGAAAACATAAGGCAATGCAGCAAACCAAGTTCTCTCCTACAGATTTTATAAGCCAATCCTTCTGTGTTGGTGACAACTGTTGTTTATTTAGCATGGCATCCTGTGTTTTAAAATGGATGTTATTTGTTCTTTTACATATGGGATCCTTTGGAAAATTCTCCAGTTGGCATTTCTTGCTGACAAATTGTCCAAAACCTAAGAATCTATCCCTTGCCTCCCACAATAGCTATTTGCCGCTGGTGGAAGATAGAAGAGATGATCAACAGCAGGGAAGCAGCAGGAGTTGAACGCACAGAGCTCCCCAAGCAATGCAACCTCTGGAAGAAAAAAAAAAAAAAACGAAAAAAAAACCAAAGGCTCTTTAGAAAAACAAAAAAAATATAATCACCCTCACAAGAGATAAAGAGATAAGAAAGGCTGGCCACAATTAATTGGCAAGAGCTTAAGCAATATGATGAGTCAGGTAGAGAAACAGTAAGTGAAACAAGGAAATGTGCTGGACAGGGATCAAGGACATCATAAGTAATGTTGCTGGGGATCTTCAAAAAATGAGTATTGTTTTCGTCTGAGGAAGGATTAGAAAGGAAGCTTAGATTCTGAGTAGTCTAATTCAATTCCTAAATCAGCAGTAGATATTTATGTTTTATCCAGCTATCTTACTTCCCTTTACCAAAGACCAGAGCTTTCCAACACATCAATTATAACAACATTCAACAGATCTATTATTGAAATACTGGAATATCACTATGAGATTTTGTGGTATCTGATTTTGTTTTTAAAGTGAAGTTATCTAAAAGAGCTTTAGTTGATAAGAGAGAGACTCACACAGAACGGTTTATTGCTCTGTACAGTGTATTTCTGCCTCTTTATTTTTCTGTTTTGTCAGGTGACTATGATTTCCTTGCAATATTTTTATATCATTGAGAAGTCTTTTTTTTAATACTCATAACATGAGTTACTAATGACTTGAAAATTCATTGTTCAGATGTTTAGGGGAAAATGGTTATGAGGTTTGTTTTATGAAAGGAAATGCCTACAAAGATGCAGTTTTGCAGTACACATTTTCTTTCTCTGATTATAAAGCTAAGAGAATTAACAGTATTTACTGGATTTGTACACATTGGTAAAAATATATATAACGTTTATGGAGCCTCCACATCTCTGAATGTTCTTTCCTGCAAGACTTAGGTAGTTGTAGTCCAATTACAGAACAACAAGAAAAAAAAATAAGATTTTTGTTTTCCCCAAGCAAGTCTACTTGGAATATTTGTCAAATCAGTAGCATCATTTGCTTCTGTGGTGAACTGCAGAAAGAAACTTTGACTTTCTTTCCCATTTATCATCCAATAGTGAATAAGTCCTGGAAGCCATAACAAAACAAAAATCCTTCTGAATTAAACAAAGGTAAGACTGGATAACGTAGACAGAGAAGGGCAAAGTTGGTTAGCGTAGCACTTCATCACAGCTCTGTGCAGGTTCTCCACATTCATTGTGAATACAGAATGGTTCAGCTGAGGCGATAGTTTTCCTTTGATGTCCAAAGCTGTCATTAAAATATGTCCTCTTCAACAATTAAACTAACTTGTTAAAAGGTGTCAGTAAGCGCTTTCTCATCATCATGCGGTACTTTTTGAGAATGAGGTAGAAGAGCCACTCTATACTTTCTTTTCAATATGGCTATTTAAAGGTCATTTAAATTTGGAACAAACTGATGATGAATTAAAGCATGCTCTTTCCTCAACCATTTTACAGTCATAGCTTTTGTAACCTTGGTTACTTTGGCTCAGATAGAAGGCAGGAACTGCAAAGACACATTCCCAAACAGAAATACTGTAACCTCATTCTCAATCCCATTCCAATGGGAACGATCTCAGTAGGACTTAATTTTTCCATGTAAGTCAACAATAACTCCATTTATACCACTGAGTTACATCAACAGGGAAACTGGTAACTCTCTTAAGAATTACAAAGACAAAATCACTTAATTGTGAGGACAGGCTGAGATCTGGGGCTCTTTGGCTTGGAGAAGAGAAGGCTCCAATGGGACTTTATAGTGACTTTCCAGTACCTGAAGGTGGCCTACAGGAAAGCTGGAGAGGGACTTTTTATTAGGGCATATAGCAAAAGGACAAGGGGAAGTGGTTTTAAACTGGAAGAGGGTAGATTTAGACTAGATATAAGGAAGGAGTTCTTTACTGTGAGGGTGATGACACAACTGAAACGTTGCCCGGCGAGATTATGGATGCCCCCACCCTGGTGGACTTCAAGGTCAGGCTGGATTGGGCTTTGAGCAACCTGGTCTAGAGGGAGATGTCCCTGCCTATAGCAGGGTGGTTGGAACTAGATGATCTTAAAGGCCCAATCCAACCCAAACTGTTCTATCATTCCATGAAAATGCTGGCATTTGTAACATTTTGAGGTTTCACATAGTACTCAAGCTAACAGCTAACATTATGATGATGCTGTTTTTATCAGTACAGCTAAGAAACCATGGGAAATGCTGATTAAACTATGCACTTGATAAGAAACTTCTACAGAAGCTATAGAATAGGATTGATACATTAATAATTATAGCTCACTTAAGCTGGCATGACTTAATATTATTTGTATAATGACAAGTTATAATCTATTTGTCCAATAAAATGTGATTTCAGGCAAACAAAGCTGGAAAATGTCTCACTTTGAGAAGGATTTTTAAATCTCATTAACCAATCAACTGCATCCTTGAAAACCAATGAAATGTTCAAACACATTTTAAGACTTTCTGACAAAAAGACTCACACTGCCCTGAATAATGTGAAAAGCAACAAAAGATCAGTGATTACAGGCTAAGTATTTATATTCCAGGTTTTAGTTGGATGATTATAAATTCTTCAGATTGGAAATTCCTCAGATTCATTATGTTCACACTGCCAAGAATTACTCTAATGTAGTAGGCGAGAATTACTCTAATCTATTGCTGCTGACTGCCAACAGTAATTCTATTAATTCAAAGAGCTAATGACATTTACTAGTATTGCCATGATGTTTATTGCATCTTTGAAAGTATGTGGGAATACTTAGTGGTGCATCATTCTAAACAAACTAAATTGAGACTGAGTAGGTGAATGGCACCTGCACTCCTGAATTATATGCTCTGCATCATCATACACAGACAGCATGAAGTGTGCTCATCCAGTGACAGAGCCAATCATCATGCCAGTACCCTTCTAGGCTTGTATTTTTGCATAATGACAATAAATAACAACAATAAATGACAACAGTAATACAAAGATAAGGGTTTGATTCTGGAAGAAGAGCAGCTGAAAATTGCAGTACTATCACCAAAATAAGTCCAGGCTCAGCAGAGCATCCCAAACTGTAGCTGCACTGTTTCTGTTTCAGAACAGACATAGGTCAGAAGCAGTTCAGGTTGTCTGTACTGAGACCTGATGCATCAGGGCATGCACCAGGTGATGAAACTATGATGTCAAATGGGTGGGCAGAGACCTAAACAAATAGAAGTCACCTTCATAACTTTGAATGCCCAGGATGTACGCATCCAAGCCAGGGATATCTCTCAGAAAAGGAAGGTGCAGTAGGTTTTCTTAGCTGCCTGCAAGCTTGAACAGTCATGCAGTATATTATGTACACTCATTTGCCAGCTGTAAAGTAACAGGTTTCATTTCTCCCTGAGGAATTCTGAAACAAAATTATCCTGACACAGGGCTAAGAAGCTCCTGTGGAAACTTTTCTGTGATTCTTATTTAAAAAAAAAAAGTGAGAAAAAAATGTCTGTAGTCCAGCCCTACCCTAGCAAATGTCTAATGTTAAATATACACTAATTTCAGATAAAAAAATGTTTGTCTGTACAGCTTTGGGGGGGATATCTTTTCCAAGGAGTTTAGCAGAAATCTAGCAAAGTTACAAAATAAGAATGTGTGAAAACTCCCAAATAAAGAGTTCTTTCTTCCCCCTAGTAAGAAGCAGAGACTGAGCTGAAGCTTCTTCTTTCATCCAGAAATCTGTTCAAGTTATGTAAGCATGCATACTATTGACTTTTCAGCATACAGCATTTACATAGCCACATTGTCAGAAGAGGTAGGAATGAAAGGTTAAGCAATAAAGATTTTTTTAAAAAAGAAATAATAATTAATGCCTGAGAGGTCTCTACAGTGAAGTCATAAAAACTCCCTGGAAAGATGCAAGAAGTTTCTTCAACAATTACCTGAACAGATGAAATCCCTCCGTACCAAAAACGCACAGAGTTTGTTTTTCAGATGCCAAATTTCATAACGAAGTTCTTTCTCAAATAAGTGTGCTAATGTTTAACAGCAATACAGCAATACTACAGGGTTTGCAAACAGGAACATGTCTGGTTGTTACTGATTTTGTTGTGTTTATCCAGTCCTGTAGCAGAGACTCATCAAAATACACAGCATCAGCAATGCTAACCAAACTACAAAGATGGCAACTCTACATGGGCTGGCTGAAGTGGAAATTGCAGACAGCTGTGTTCCACTCACCTTCCTCTAGACACCAGGGTAAGGGCTGAGATCACAGGCTTTGTATCAACAGGGCAAGCAGCAACAGTTGGCACATGTGAGCACACAGCAGAGATAAGCATCAAGACAGGTAGCTCATTCAACCTTTGCTCCCAGCCTGCATAGGAAGTGGATACATGACAGAGTCATTCTTCTGAGGCTATGAAACTGAGTTTTACCAAAATGAGTAAGTTACTTTTCAATCACTCTCAAGGCAATAATTCTTAATTTTATTTGCACCAATATGAAATATGCAGCCAACTCAGTACTTGTAGACAGACACAAAACAGCACAGTACACCTCCTGTGCACTTTTCATAGCAGAAGGCTAAAGCTCTTGACAAACCATGGCACAAGGAGAATCTCTGCTACTGTTGAGCATGTCATGAGAGTTTCTAAGATGTGACCTCACTGTGGTGAATCCTTAAGCAACAAGGAGCATCCCCATAACATATATGCTTAAATTTTCTATACTTAAATGCCTTCCTATGTTTAGACTTCCTCAAAACTACATTCTGACTCCAAAGGTCTTCTTACTGATTGTTTCTGAATAGTGTGAGCATTGGCCCAGAGGGAACAAGCGACTTATGCAAATACTCAAACCCATTCTGGAAGAATCACTTCAGAGTCTCAAGGGGACTGAGATCCTCGGCTGATGCTGCCATCAGCCCCAGGAAAGCAGCATCTCCCTGCAGCGTTAGGCTCAGTTTCATGAAGTAAATTTGCTGCATCTCTTACCTGTTTAGAAAAAATAGTTTTATTCTTTATATAAGCTTTTTTCATTTCTTCTCCTACCTGACAATATTCTTTCCAGATATTGAAATCAAACTGTGAAGGCTCAAGATGTATGAACTAAACTATTCCACAGGCAGAGATACGTACTGTGAGCCTTGTTTATTTTCCAAGATGGAAATTCTAAGGCCAAAGCAGAGCTACCTATGTGTTAGCAGTCTTGTCTGTATCAGTCATCACAGCTAATTTGTAGCAAGTGATCAATTGATTCATCCTCACTCTGAGATGTCGAGAAAGTTGTTATGAAAGGCTCTTCTACTGCATGCGCACAAATAAAATAAGCTCACATAAAATGGGATTTAGTAAGTGTAAAAAACATGTTTGTGTGAGATAATGAGCAAGGGAAAGAAGATAAAAATGAAGAAAAAATCTGTAGCAAAAACTGCACTTGGATATTGTCTCCAGTTCCATCTTTATCATCTGGAAATGGCATGACAGAAACACACTTGTGTACATTTAAACACCGGACCACACAGAGTGGTCCCAGTTGCATAAGAATGTAAAGCAATGAAAGCGTTTTGGAAAAAAGTAGTATCATGTGTTGTAGTTAATTTCATACTCTCCTTGTGCACATTATTAAAACATTCACTAAATCCTTCTTTCTTGTGGAGTTTAAAACGTGCTTGTTCAAATATGATTAAAATTGCATGAATCTTAGAAAGTTACTATTAGAACATAGGCTGTAAAAAGAGGATAAATCTGTGAATGACCTTCAAGGATTTTTTTCCTCATCTGTGCTAATGTTAATGATGTGCCACCCACATAAAAGCCAGAGAAATACTTATTAGTGTTACTAAAATAAGCACCAAAAGAATTGCTATCAACGCAGTCATTTCAACAGACATCAATCCATTACAGCGTCATGAAGCCTACTTTGGATTGCAGTGAACAATGTTTTCCAATGCAGAGAATACCAGGAAGACAGAAAAATTCACAAACACTGCACGCACCTAAACTCTCCAGCCATGCTACCATTTTAAACATTGTCATTCATTGTCAGCATATTTTCCTGTGAGTTTTTGTTGTTGTTTTTTAAACTATTTCTTGTATTTACATCCATCTTTCACACCCCTTCATAAAGTCCTTTCCCCAGCATACCCAGCCAGAACCTCCCTGTGCTAGGACAGGGCATTACACACCATGACCCTATCATTGCCTTCAGGTGATGAACAGGGCACTACCTATCTAAGCATTTGATTTTTCAAACACAGAAATAAAGAGTGAAGAGGAGGTAGAATTTCATGCACACTTCAGATATTGCCACGTTAAATTTCTACATATCATCTGTGTAATTATGTCATAAAAGTGCTAGATCTGAGTAACGTTGGATGCTGTCAGACTTGCAGTGCTGAGCTGAATGGAGGCTGTACAGTTCTACTGCATGCATTTTGAACTGAAGTTACCTTCAGTTGAAGAAAAGTTCATAAGCCAAAATTAATGAGACTGGAATTTGAAGGAGTAGTGGCAGTTAAGAGACCCATTACAACACATCAATTACAAAAAGACAGACACTACACAATTTCCTGGCCAAAAAAAAAAAAAAGTGCTTCTGCCAAGTAAACACAAAATTATAATAATTAAAAAAGCACTTCATTAATATTCAACAGGAAGAATGCCACAGCTTACCTGCTCCCTACACTTAAGACGTATAAATGGTGCAAGTGGTAAAGTTTCAAAACACACAGGTATGTCTGACTGAATAGAATCAGGCTCATTGAGTTCAGTTAATGTCCAAGCTGAACGGACTGTCTATGTTATTGCAAGAGGTTTCTTTAAAATAGTTTGATCAATAAAGCAGCTGCTAGAGACAACAGTAGTAAAAATTCCTTGTAAGAAACACACCATTTTCTCTATACTTGTTTACTTCAAATTTACTATGTGCTTTAGATTTGACTAGGACTAATGTTATTCCAAGAATCTCCTCTAAGCCTGTATGCGTGACAGATCATTGTCCTGTCAAGATTCTCTGTTTGCCCAAACACTAGTGTTTCTGAATCACTATTTATAATTTTTTATATCTTCCAGTATTGTCCACTGGAAAGAGGGCATTTCTGATTTAATTTTTCCTCTACTCTGAATGAGAGCATCTCTCCAATGATTATCATACATTGTAATCCAATGAGTAGACATTGCTGAGATCATTCTGCCCCATATCTCATTGGTGGGAAAAATTCTTTTATCTTGGCTTCATCTCTGTCTTCATGTGATGCAACAACAGCTGATACAAGATATATTAAATAAAGTCATATGGTAAACCAAGAACTATCAGTTCAAACAAGTGAGTTCAATATTTAAAGCCTTCACTGATGAGCACTGGCAGTCTCCTTGGCTATCAGTACACTTCACTTGTCTTACTACACACTCACTACCCCTCTCACTACTTCCCCTCTAAGTTCTTTTTCTGCAATGCCCTCCTCCTAACGTCTGTGGTTTCCCACCCTAACAAGTGGGAAAGTGCAGGCCAGTCAGGCTCAACACACTATGTGCCTCTTTTGTAAGCCACATGTTATGCTTAATAGCATAAAAAATAAGCATTCCTAAATGTTTAATTGAAAATCATAAACTAATCAATTAACCAAAATCAGATATTAATCAATTTCTCCTGTTCTGGAAAGCTTCTACAGCAAGTGCTCTATTCAAATTTCTTTCCAGGTCCTTGACTTGAAATTGTTCCCATGATTAAGCTGGTCTGCTCTTTTAGGCACTCTGGCAAACATAGGACAGGGCAGAAAGCCCCTGAAGAGAGACCAGAGCTGCTTTTATGTAGAGCAGAACACTACATACAAGGCAATAATCCAAAACATCTATGTGAAAGCTCTCATATTTCGTAGTCTGAACCTCAAGACTTAATATTCGCATAAAGCAAGCAGGTGAACCGTAAGAAAACTAAGATCTGATTAATTAGCAAATTTTCTTTTGCCAGTCTGAGACATGCTACACAATTCATAACAAGTTGTACTCACAGCAACATAACCAAGTTTAGATTGAAGTATGAACTGTATGACAAGGGTTCTGTAGGATATTTTCCACAGTTAGAAGTAATATGAGAGAATAAACTTATTGATGCTGTTGGTTCAGAAATTTCAAAAGCACAGCTCTGATAAAAGGATGATTTGTGTGTATCATGGAGATCATTCTCTATGTACATTGGGCACTACTTCAGAGACTGTTGTAACCCCTTTCTGTCGGGAATTAGCATAAATAGATACTTAAGTAATTGTAAAATAAAGTAATTGTGCACCAAAAATATGTCACCTTTCTTCTTGCCTATTATCAACTACTGTCCAGGTGAGATGATCCAAGGATATGTATTGGTGTCCCAAAGAACAGGATCGGGAGGATCCACAGTCCATTCTTTAGGCAGGAATACTGCTGCAGTACAGTACCTGTACCACTCCTGAAACAGATTTGTACAATATGTACCTAGAAATTGCCATTGACTGATTTCCCTGTGACATTCTGAGGCATCTAATGCAAAATTTATCATCAGCATAAGGAAGTTTTTCCTTTATTGAAATCTACCTTCCTGCATTTCAAGCCCATCAAATCTTCACTCAGCCACTGAAGTCAGCAGCGGCCTTTCATGTATTTGAAGACTGATACCACAACCCTTCTATGCCTTCTCTTCCTTATGTTAAACAAGAGATGTTGCAGGTTCTCTTTCTGTTTAACATTCCCCTACAGCATATGGCTTTTTTCCTTTCATCAGCTTGTCACAAGTCCATTCTTGTCTTGTAAACCCCAATAAATCCCCCAGATCTTTTTATTCAGAGCTATTCCCTATTTTCTCTTCTATGTTTGCATATTCAACATACCTCCTGTTCTCCCTTCCTCTCCTCTTCTGCATGGGAACATCTTCCTGCTAATAACTGGAAAGTAGCATCATTGTCTTGCCTTAGCCATGATGTCAGCAAACTCTTCACTATTACGAAACAAGCGGGAGGATGCAATGGCAGTGAATCATGCTGCCCTCATAATTCCACAAAGCTGTCAGCATGCTTTTCCTGCTGTCACATGCTGTATCATCTAGTGGACATTAGCCAACTGTCTAAGCCAACCTAGACATCTATCATCTTTTACACTCCCTGAAGTATCCAAGACGTTTGTGAAGGGCTGGAAGATGTGAAACAGCCTCTACATCATTCTGGATCAACAGCTGAAGGCCAGGCAGGACATACTGCAGAGCCCAGAGAGGCCTCAAATACCCATGGTTGGGCTTCTAAATCCCTTTGTATGGTGCCACAGCATATAAATCAAAATGTGCAAAAAGGAAAATATAGAAAGACTGGAATTTCCAAGTCCTGTTGGGGACTTAGGCAATCTCAAAATAAATTTGATTAATGGGCAAAGACAAGATAGAAAATATTTAAAATCAGT